TGTGTGGGGGGCCCCTGCCTTCAAAGCGTTCACATTCTAACGGGAGATGAAAATAAATGCAGAATTACTATGCCAAGTGCTACATGCCTCAGGAGAGATGTCGCTTGAGCTATGAGCGCACAGACCAGACCGTTACTTGAGTGTGAGGGATAAAAAAGTCTTTTTCAATTGAGATTGTATGATGGCTAGGTAAACAGAACTAGTTGCTATAACAAACAACCCCCCAATCTCAGTGACTTAGTGCAGCGAAAGTTAAGTAACAATCATGGGACTCACCTGCCCATTTTTCCCCCACTGATAATCCAGGAACAGAGACTTCCTCCTTCTTATAGCACCAGTGTTTGTGTGGGTAGCTTCCATGGACAGAGCAAGAGAGAATGTGACTGCTTGTGTATGAGTTTTATGATCAAGCCTGGAGCAGTTGTCACGGTTTTCACTGTCCAGTAAAATGGTGAGGGAGTCTGGGAAATGTCTTCTGTGGTCCTGGAAAAAAAAAAGGGGGGGCTTGGTAAGCCTCAGTTTCTCTGAAAATTTAAGTTTTGATCAGACTTACCCAGATGAAAAGAAAATATATTCAAGATAGGAGGAACATTTATTTTAAGTATAGGGACAATAGTCACAATCAAAATGGTTTGAAGAACTCCAGGTAGCTCCATGTGCCTGGAGCTGAGACTAGACAGGGACAGAGACAAGATCATGCAGGGTCTATTTTAAAATAAATGAAGTGGCTTGGGCTTTATCCTGTGAGTAATAAGGAACTGCAAGAACACTTTTAATTGGGGAAGTGACATGTTTTCATTTTGAAATATTACTCTGAAGCAGCCAGGAAAACAGCTAAGAAGCTATTGTAGTAGGACAAGTGAGAGGTAGTGAGTCTAGGATCAGACGTGGTGCATGTCCTCCAGGCACTTACAAACAGACACATCTGTATCAGCTGCATTCAGTAAATGGTAACAAGCACTGATATCCAAACCCAAGCAAGAAACTATTTGGAGAAGTGTGAGGGACTTATTTTAACCGAAGATGAGAAGAAATCACGACAAGCTGAAGAAAGCCAAACTCCTCTATCATACACAATGATTGCGTTTTAAAAATGCAGAAACTGAGACATACTCAAATGTGACTACTGATCCATGGTCACAGGTTATGTTAAAATTTAAAGGACAGGTAGACATCCTGCTTATTTTAGTGTGCCATTCTAATTGGGCCAACCTTGATTCTAAAGTCACATAGGCACAAAGCATCATGAAGTTATTGTTGGAATTAGTGTTTACGTTTTTAGCATTCCAGCAAAGTGCTGAATATTCCTAACGAAGGATGAAAAGTCATAAGCCCTCCAGCTCAAACCCCAAACATGTAAACGTCTGATACCTATTTTTGTATTCTAACTCCAGTCCTTAGAATCTCTGAGTGGGATGTTACCTTAGAGAGGAGCTAATCCTTTATCTTAGTTTGGAAGTGCCAGTTGATACAATGACATGTCAGCCTTAATGACATTTGTGTGGATTTGACTCCAAATGGGGATATACAAAAACAAAATTAAATGAACACAGCAACCCCTTAGGCCATAAGAACAAAATAGTGATTACCAGAATGAAACAGAGGTCAGATGGGTCAGTTTTATCATGAAGGATGATAACTAAACTTTTGGTGGCAAACATAATGCCCTATATACATGTAGGCATCAATTTAAAATGCAGTGTACCTGAAACCCAGATAATGTTAATAACTGCTATTACTTCAGTAGGAATTAAATAAACAAAACTACCACAAAGACAATGATAAGCTGAGACATAAAGTTTTTATTCTGTGCATAAAGTCTCTAATATAGTTTCTGTAAGTCAAAAATTTAAAAAGTTCAACAACCCAATTTTTAAAATGGGTGAAGGAAATGAACAGATGATTCAAAGAAAAGAAAATGCAAATAGTTCTTAAACATATGAAAAGATGCTTAACCATATAATAAAAGATAATTATACTAAGAGAAATTCAGATTAAAACTAATCTTAGATATCATTTTTCACCCATCAAATTGGCAAATATCAAAAAGTTTGATTCCACCCATGTTGCCAAGGCAACTGAGAAAGGAAGCCTTAATACATTGCCAGGAGTGTAAATTGGTCCTTCTAAGGAGGTCAATCTGTCAATATTGATCAGAATTGCAAATGCACAGAGGACCCAGAAATTCCACTTCTGAGAATTCATCCTACTTATAAATACATAAAAGTGACATGGTGTGTGTAGAAAGTCAATCACTAAGATGTTTGTCACAGGAAAAGGTTGCAAATGGCTTAAATGTCCTCAATAGGCAACTAGGTTAAATTGTTTCTATGTGGTAATTCTCTGTGTACTGACAAGTAGTTATCTCTAAAATATGTTAAACAAAAAAACTCGAGGGTGGGTTTTGCATGCTACCATTTGTATATTTGGGTGTTGGGGTGGGTGGGGTGGGGGGTGGGAGAATAATATTTGTCAGTTTGAGCCCAAGCTAGCTCTGGAAGGATACACAAGAACCCAATGCTATTTGGTGCCCTTGGGGAGAGAAATTGGGTGGTGGGAGGGCAGGAAGAGGGAATAAGGAAGATTTCACTAAGTTCTTTCATATCTTTGTGAACCATGTAAAGCAATCAATATAATTCACCTGATGCTTATTTCAAGCAAAATCACATCAAATGCCAGGTGTCAGGAGGGGGCAGTGGACATCACTCCAGAATGGTGAACAGAAGAGCCAGTTTCTAATTCTTACCCGCTTACTAACCAGCTGGCTGGCCTTAGAAGGTGATGGTCTCAATTCAGAGCTGGTCTGGGACTGGTTAAAAAAGCTGGTTTCTGAGGCCCTCTCTAGCGCCAACAGCCAGAAATATAAATTGTAGTTTTTCCGTACACATTTCTTGAGTCATCTCTCTACCTCCTCCTTTCCTCTGCAGCTCATCAAAAGCTCAGAGGAAAAGACAGACAATTGAAGAAAATAAAATTGCAAAGATGACTTTTATAGGGCTCCTGTTGAATCATTGTGTATTCCACCTCCAAAGCTGAAAATGATGAGTTTAATATCACACAGCGCAGTGCATCTTGTATCTCTCAAAAGACAGCTTATGCTACCCAGAGAACTGGGAGCTCGGCAAGGCATAATTTTTCACTCCAACTCTGAGGCAAATGAAATGACAGTCATCAGGCCCACATTCCAGAAGCAACATGGTTTTCATTTGGTTTTAACTTCGTTTGAAAGTGTCCCAAGGAGGGAGAAGATTCTAAACATGGACTTCTCATCTTTCTCAGGACTGTGTCCTAGCGGATGGGAAGAGAGCCAGGTTTGGCCTTGGCTGTTTCTGGTGTTGACCATTGATGACAATCACTTAACTGTGCCATGCCCAAGAAGCCTGGGTTCCAGTCTCCATTATGTCAAGTCCCTTCCTCATCTGGGGCCTGAAAGGATGGACAGATACAAAGGGGGTCATTTTTTTTTAATACATATAGAGCTGGGGTACAGGCCAGAGTGCAGGGTGGTAAGAGGATTCACCAGAGACAGAGTAGGGAGCAGAATAGGCTGACTGACAAAGTACACTGCTGAGGGGAGCAGCAGGCAGGTCAGGAGAGGTCTGCCGTGCCATGTGGGTCACCTACGGGGCGGGGATCGAACTCATGCTCAAGTGGCTTTAGCTTCTCAGTGCTGTGCTTTAACCCGCTGCACCACCAGGGAGGGCCCAAAGGGGTCAAATTTTAAGGCAGGTGAGGATCTCAGGATCTGAAAATTGCCCAGTTCCTGCTGGTCCATTATAGTGTCTGGAGTGATCTCTCTGGCTCACATGTGCACTCTGCATACAGCTACAGAGCACCCTTCACAGATAGTCTCTGGGCTCTTCCTAATAAGTCTCATACTTTCAAGAGCTCATGGAGGATGCTAATAAATAATACCAAGCAAGGAAGTGTCTTAAACATGTATAGGTAAAGAGTAGAGAAAGACCAGTCACTATTATCCTTACAGATTGCAAGTTTGTTTTTTCCTCATGTACTGTTTATATAATACTGGGGAGTAGCTGTGGAGTCGTGAAGTTAAATAAATGGACTAACTAAGATGTCATAAAGTATGAGAATTGTTAGAAAAGAGCCCAGAGCCTGTCTATGAATGGACTAACTAAGATGTCATCTATAATTCTCCCTGGCCAGACATGCATTAGACATTCAGTGAATGAAGGCAATTCATATTGTTTATTTGATTTCTACTGTAACTCTCTGAAGTTGGCCTAAAAATACCCCATTTTTAAAAAAAGATTTATTTATTCATACAGAACCGGGGTACAGACCAGAGGTGCAGGGGTGGTGAGAGGATTCACCAGACAGAGTGTGGAGCAGAACAGACAGATTGACTAGTACACTGCTGAGGGGAGCAGCGGGCAGGTCAGGAGAGGTCTGCTGCACCATGTGGATCACCTCTAGGGTCAGGGATCGAACTCTCACTGAAGCAGCTTTGGCTAGCTTGCAATGTTGCACTTTAACCTACTGCGCCACTAGGAGCCCCCCCAAAAAAATACCCCATTTTTAAATAAGAAATCTGAGACTCAAAAAATGGGACCATGATTTAACCCAGAGCCTCCTACACTAGCAATAACCCAGTTGGGACAAAACCATAAGCAGGTCCAGTGGAAATACAATCATGTTCCATGAAAGGTATCAGTCAGTAGTCAGAGAAACAAATTCTGCTAATGCCTCTAGTCATCACGCACATAAATTTAACCCAACAAAAACCTCACTTCTTCGGAAGGACTCTGAAGAGGGATGCTAACGATAGAAACCTCAGACCTTGAGATGCTTACAGAAGTGAAGAAAAATGGGTCTTCACTGGCTTCCTCACAAATGCTGCTGAATCTGCTGACACCTTGGGCCAGCTTGGAAGGAAATGGGTATGTGTAGAGGTGTGCACCTGCACACACACTTGGTGTCTGGCCCCTTGAGGGCTAGCCCGCGGCCCAGACTTCTCATTTGTTTTCCTTTCTCAACAGAAAACAAGCCTGGAGTTTTATATTGACATCCACGCCCACTCCACCATGATGAATGGCTTCATGTACGGCAACATCTTTGAGGATGAGGAGCGGTTCCAGCGGCAGGCTGTGTTCCCCAAGCTCCTCTGCCAGAACGCTGAGGACTTCTCCTATGTAAGATTGAGGTTCTGCTCTGGTGGCCCCGGCCCCGCCCTACCTGCCGCCCTCCCCCCACCACCTCCCTCGCTTTCTCCTCACTCAGTTCAGTTGGCTGAACATTTACAGGAAGCCTACTCTGTGCCAGGTCTTTGTGGGTGATAAAGATAGAGCAAAACAAGCTGTGCCCAGGCCCTCGGTAGCTCAGAGTGGAGGAGAGGCACTCTTGAAAACGTAGCCTCGGTGTGTCTGACAAGCTGGCGTTTGTTCAGCTGATCAGGCTCCAGCATGAAGAGAAGCCACCCACTGCGTGTGCCCCCATGAGCCAGGCTCCGCCCCAGGGTCTGTTCACACCCTCCTCATTGCCTTCAGTGAAGCCTAAACTGGCTGCCGAACAGGTCAGACTCCCACCATTGTCTTCCTCCGTGACCCTTTCTGGGCCTCAATTTCTTTGTCGGTAATTTGTGGGTGATGATTTTCTGTCCTGCCTGTACCATGGCTTCTTGGGAGGACAAATGCAGTAATAGATAGGAAAGTATTTTGCAGGCAGTAAAGACCTCAGCAGACTCAAGAGACTGTTGTTACTACCCACCTCACATGCACGAAAGGAGGACTGGAGAGGCTGTGGGCTGGCAGAATAATTCGCTGCAAAAAGCAATATTGGAAAAGGGCAGGCAGAGAAGATAAGGAGGGGAATCAGCATGGGGGGCCATGGGAGAGAGATTTTGTACATTTTCCTTTGTTTTGATACTAAATCTCTGAGGCCTGTTATTTTCATGCGCCCAGAGGGGGAGAGGCCCACAAAGGTCATAGCAATTTTTGAAGTTGATGAGCTGAAAACTTGCCTGCCCATTGCTTCAGGCCTGGGTATTAGTGGAGATGATGAATTTCTCCATAAGGTAAGATGCACTTTGAATCCCAGAGTCTTTGAATGCCAGACCAGCAAAGGAACTGGGAGATTATTTAGTTCAGTCTCCTCTTTATATCCAAAAGATGCCTACTGTCCAGAAATTGAGTGTCTAGAGCAAGGTTACCCAATATTTGGTGGTAGTGAAGCAGGCAGCTGCCCATTTTCAATTCTAGAGTAAAAACAGCCATGCTGTGTCTGTAAGAATCTGTGGGAAAGCCTGCCTTGTCTTTTGGCAACCACCCTGATTTCAGAACAGACTGTGGTCTCCTGCATCTGAGTTTCCTGGAAGATTAGGTCACAGGCCTCAGAGACCCTCACAGAGAGATTCCAAAGCCTACAAAAGGGTCCCAGTCTGTGACCATTACTTATGACCTGCCCTGCTGAAATTCCTGCATGCTAGCCTCCTCAAGACTTTGTGGCCAAGGTCAAGGTCATCCCTCCTCAAGAGTTTGTGGCCAAGGTCAAGGTCATCTCTCCACATCTGATCTCTGTCTCCCCTCTTCTTCTCATCCTCAGTGACCAACTCTACTATGTGAGAGTGGACTGCACTACCTGGACATCAGTGGTCCTTACGCCTCTGACCTTCTATGATTTTTTTGAGCCTTTTCCTTCCCTCGAAACACACCCACCCATTTCTCTGCTTCTGCTAGTGTCTGTCTCATTTTGCTGTTTTCTTTCTCCTTCCTTTCATTTTTCTTCTCTTGTAACCTGCTGAATAAGACATGCATGTGGTCTTTTATTAAGACCACAGTACCTCCACTGCTGAGGGGTCCTTGGGTTAAGAACAGAAACACCCATTTAACTCATCAGGAAAGAGATGCATTTTTGCCTCCACTTGACAGATGAGATAAATGAGACTAAGATAAAGCAAATTGTGACAAAAGCAAATTTTGGCACAGAGGATTTGAAATGTTGCCCTCTCTGCTCTTTCTTTCCTTTCTCTGCACCATGGTGATTGTGGCCGGCTCCCTAGCAAGAAGCTCTCTGCTCTCTATGGGTGTTGGGCACAAGTTCCATCGCCCCGCACAGAGGGGAGCACGGAGCAAGAGTGGCGTGGTAGCTTCTGGAATCACTCAACCCTAGTTCAGACATGTCCTGTAGCATTCACTGGATCCATCTCTTCGGGTGTCTCAACTTTCTCGCCTTTAGGAGGTACAATCACACCCCCTCCATCAAGGGTTATTTTGAAGCCTAAATGAGATGCATGGGAAGTAATATTATCAGACTGAAATCCATGCCCAGATTTTTATTCTGATCATAATGTCATGTCATGTCATACCCCATCATAGCATATCCTACCATATCATATCATTGTTGCTTGTTTTCTGTTGCTCCATTGGCCCCCATTCAAATTTCTACAATTTATTTTTTAGATGAAACTTACTGGGTCCTCAAGAGTTCTACCAGATGCTTTCATTTGTTAATTCAATCAGTCCTCAATAATCCTGTGATTAGTAGCCTCCGTGCTTGATGAGGAAACTGAGATCCAGAGGCATTGTAAGGTTCAGTCAAGATCCAGTCACCGCAGCCCTGAGTCTCTCCTGCCTACTTTGTCTCCCTCAGTCCAGCACCTCCTTCAACCGTGATGCCGTGAAGGCAGGAACTGGCCGCCGTTTCCTTGGGGGGCTGCTGGACCACACTTCCTACTGCTACACCCTGGAAGTCTCCTTCTACAGCTACATCATCGGGGGCACCACGGCTGCCGTGCCCTACACCGAGGAAGCCTGTATCCTTGACAGCATCCCTCACCCCTTTTCCTGCCCTGCCAGCAGAGTCTCCAGAATTTACCAGACAGGTCAGGAATTAAATCTCCAGGTCAGGTGAGGACCAAGGCTCTGGGGTGTCCTCTTTGCACCTATGCCCTTCTGACGAGCATCCCCTCCCGTCAGCCTCTGCGGTGCCTCAAGTATTCCCGCCTCCCTGTGTCTCATGCTGCTTTCCTGCAGGATAGCGAGGTGCTGAGTCTGCAGGCCGGTGGCTGTGCCTGGAGCTCTCCAGGATGACTGGTGCTCTTGATTCTCCTTCTAGCCCCTTTTATTCCCGAACTTATAAAACTGCATTTTCCCCCTCATTGGCTGTCTTCTTGTACTCTTTCTTCCACTTTCTCATGTTCTTTCTTCCACTTTCTGTTCTCTCACTTGCCATTTTTCCTCTGCTTGATTGTTCTCCCCTGTCTCTGTCTCACTCTACCTCCTCTTCTTCTCCTGCCCCGTGTTTTTCTTTCCCTTGCTCCGCTCTTCTTCCTCCCTTTCCTACCTTCTCTCTTCTCCCAACCTCCTTCCAACCTCCTTCCTCTACCTCTCCTCTCTTCTCTGTCTTCTCTGCACACCCCTTTCTCTCTCTCCTTTGCCAAATTGCATTTTCTTAACTTCCTTATAAACTTTCTCTGAAAATGCCTAAGCGTGTCATGATGAAATTCAAGGTGACTTGCTAATTTGCTTGATTTTTTTTTTTTTTTTTAGAAATTTTTCCATAATTCTAGTTTGCTTAGTGTTGGTTTCCAGGTCACTGAATCAGAATGTGGCAGACTGTGACAGGCTCTGCTTCCTTTTTTCCTCTTGTTTTTGGATTGATCCATTTCCCCTTTCCCAGTAGCTTTCTAGGAGAAAGAATGATCATTGGCATAGGAGAAAGGAGCAGGATGAAAGTAACTCTGTGTGTGAGCAAACTCACTCTCCCAGAGGTAGGCTTGATTTTTTTAGGTTTTATTCAAACCTTGGTGAATATATCTGAGCTCCTACCATGTTCTGTGCATGGTCCTTTCAGGTGGTAGCGTGACTTAGACTAGCCTAGTGACACTGGGGAGGTCCAGTTACTTAGCTGGGGAACATGGGAGGTAGGGACATATACCCAAAGGAGGGGTGAGCAGTGGGCATTAGAACAGTGTTCAGAGCCAGCAGAACACAAAGATTGTGATGAGAATTGAGTGTCCCCTCCATAGAGTCACCAAGACTGAGATAGTCACCATGACACTGACTTTAATAACCACCTGCTCAGCATATCCAAGGAAGTAGGCTTAACTTTGAGACAGAAGACCCTTGGTTTCCAAAGTCCTCACCATCTCTGTGCCCCACTGATGCCTCTGCGAGCATGCACGCACGCGTGCGTGTACACACACACACACACACACACACACACACACACACACACACACACACACACTGAAGTATAGCCTATGGCTTCCCCAGGATCCACTAAATCCTGCAATGCACACTTCAGTCTCATTCCACATTGTATCTACCTTGCTCCCCCATGAGAGCAAATTGTGGCTCCAAAAGGTGGTGCTTCAGCTCCTGTTCACAGGGACAGCTGGGTCCCTTCAGAGGAGGCCTGCGCTCTGTTTGAGGTCAGTGCCTGATGTCAACTTTAGTGGGTTCTCTAGAACACCTCTGACATTATTTTTTAAAGTAAATGTATTTCTTAATAAAATGCTCTTCTCTCAGCCCATGCTCTCAAGTTTTCTTCCCCTCAATACCCAGTCCTCAAGTATCACAAGTAAAGACACTGTCAGTAAATGCTGGAATCACAAAGCCACCTGAACAAAGCATGGGCCCTGACTTGCAGAGCTTTTGGTCTACCTAGGAACACAGAAGAAGGTAGAGGAAATGATAATGTATATGGTTTTGTGCTAGAGGAAGTCCAGATGGCCAGAGGCAACTTCCATTTAACAAGTGCCTGTTGACTGTATGGGATAAGCCAGGTAAAGTTCTCAGCACCAGGGCTGTAGCAGATCTAAGTAAAGACAAAATCGCCTATACTTCGGAATAAGAGGAAGAGGACTTAAATACAATTTTAGGAGGTCAGGGAAGACTTCCCAGTGGCATGCCATCTAAGCTGTATTTTATAATTGTGGAAATTTCCAGATTGGCTTCAGGTACATTGCTGGAGGAAGGATATTGCAGACTGAATGGGAAAGCAGGTTGCTACAGGAACTGTAAGTAGTCCAGATGGCTGAAGAACTTTAGGTACAAGAGATGAGACAGTAAGGAATTTGAACTTGAACATAAAGACAATGGAGAGCAACAGAGAGATTTAAATGAGGTGGAAAATCACCCAAATTTTATGGGGAAGGGCATATTGGAAGGGGCATGATTGTTCACAGGGTCTTGTATTAGGAGGCTGTGAAGACAATTCAGATGGGGATGGTTCAGACTGAGACTGGGGAGGTGCATGAAATATTTAGAACATGAACTGAGAAGATGTGGTAAGTGCTTGGATGGGGGTGTGATGCGGAGCAGAAGCCAGTGACTGGGCGGAGTTGAGGGTGAATGGGGAGCTGCCCACAAGTTGAGCAGGCCTGTTGCCCTTTGAGCCGCCCGCCTTGTTCTCTCAGCCAGGGGTCAAGTGGAGGAATCTGGAGTCGCACCAAGGGAGCTCAAGCCAATTCAGCACACACACAAGGGTAATTTAACCTGGTTCCTGCTTAAAATGCGTTTTTTTTAAACCCTCATCTCATAACAGAGAGCGACTTCAGGCAGACAGATTGTGATCTTTGTTGGCTGCTGGCTCCATATCCCAATCAGAAAAAGAAATTACATGGTCTGATGGGAATGGCAATATGGTCTGGGAGAAAGTGTCCTCTAGACTGGGAGTCAGGAGACCTGGATTCTGATGACAGCATCAGCACCATCCCAGACAGTGCCCTTCAGCGAGCCCTCCACCCTCCCCAGGGGAGCTTCCTCACCTTCACAGAGAGACCAAGGACCTTCCCACATTTCTAGCCACTGCTAGGGGAATTAAAGGAGACTCATGAAAAAATATAGCGTTAGGCAAAGAAAACAGACCTTTGTTCAGACGTGTCTGGGTTTGAATCCTGGTTCAGCCATGACTAGATACGTCACTATGGGCACAGAACGGACCTTCACTGGGCTGAGGCTCCTCACCTTTTAACCAAGCCACATACTAACATTTAACCTCTCTTAGTGACCATGAGGGTAAAAGGAATAATGTCTATGGGTGTGTATTGTAAGCTTTAACTCTTGTGACTACCGGTTAGAACACGCAGGATTTATATGAATGGGAATGGGAGCTGTGTTTGTGCTAAAGAAGGTGGTAGAGACTCCAGAGCCAGAGGCCATTGACTGTACTTGTACACTGTGGGGCAAAGGGCTCTGCCAGGGCAGGCAACTCAAGAGGTCTGATGCTCAAAATGCCAACTGGTTACCATGGAGAGGGGGGGCACCATTCCTTTTTTTTTGTTTTGTTTTGTTTTGTTTTGTTTTGCTTTTCAGTGAAGTTACATACATTTTTTATATACACATACACCATTTTATATTTTTATATACCTACTTATATACATCACTTTATATTTTGGAAACTTAAGGAGGAGCTCCCCTCAGCTGTAGTCACTGCAGTCACCCCCACCAAAGCCCACATAACCCTCTAACTCAGTATACTGTGCTCCTGTCCCTCTCTCTCCTCCTCCTACTCCAGGTATCTCAGTTCTGTGGTCGGCTTTCACTGGTTGATTGGTTTGTCCTTGTCTAACCTTTTTATTATAAGATTTTATTTATTTATGCTTACAGAACTGGGGTACAGACCAGAGATGTGGTGGGTGAGAGGATTCACCAGAGACAGAATGGGGAGCAGAACAGACAGATCCATCCATGCTGCAAATACTAAGAGTTTATTTTTTTAAATCATTGTGTAGTATCCCGTGATTTTTTTCTTACTTTTTTTTTAAGGTTAATTTATTTTTTTCATACAAGGACTGGCATATAGGCCAGAGGTGCAGGGTGAGAGGATTCACCAGAGACAGAGTGGGAAGCAGAACAGGTGGATTGACCGAAATACACTGCTGAGGGGAGCAGCGGGAGAGACAGGAGAGGTCTGTGTCATGTGGGTCACCTCCCTGGCGAGGGGTGGAACTCAGGTTGCAGTGGCTGACAGTATCATGATAGTACTGACATTGTAAACTCTGCACCACCAGGGAGGCCCCATATTTACTTTTTTAATGTCTGCTATTCATAGTATCTCCTTCCCAACCTCAGGATACATGAGGTCAAATCAGTTATCCAGAAGATTCTGGATAAATGTAAGATCAGAGAAGGCTAGGGGAGGCCAGGAATCCTGAGGGACATGTACTCAGACCTATGGCAGTGGCTACCTCCCTTCCTACCTGTGAATATGTGGTTGCCAATTTATTTTTTTACCCTGCTGAGCACCAGGTAAGCATTACCAGATCTCATTCTCTGGTTCCCATTCCCCGTTATGCCTAGGAAATAGAGTAATGAACACAGTCACCAAGCTTAGCAAGTGTGATCTCACCTGTCTGAGCCTATTTCTCCATTCACAAAATAAAAATAATAATAATACTCACTTTTCAGGGACACAGGGAGAGGAAAATCATTCGATATCTGTAAGTCCCTGGCACTGGCTGGCACCTGCTAGGTACTCAGTGTTTCTTCTATCTCCACACTCCTGACCTCATGCAGAATGCCTGGCTTTCCTTCTTTGCATCTTTAATCTGACCATCTGGTTTGAAACCAGGAATGGGTTTTGATTCCTGACTTCACCACTCCTGGAATGTATTTCTGTGCCAGAAGCCGCCGGTGATAAATACAGGCAGAGCAAACCCTGGCCCTTTTCTTCGTCTCAGTGTCTGATGCCCCCTGCCTGTCTGAATTGTTGTGGAATGAGATATGTGAGAATGTGATCTCTATTCTCTCTTCTGGCTCTGACCATCTCTTTCTGTTTCTAACATCTAAAATTATGTGATTTCTTGCT